TCTCGCTTCATTTCATTCATTTGATCCTCAATCGCTGACATTCTTTCTTCCAGTTGATCGAGTCGGTTACTGAAGCTTGTGCATTTGTCACGTATTTCTCGTGTCATGGTTTTTGTCTCTTTCATTTCGTTTATGAGCTTCTCTGCATTAATTACTCTAGCCATCAATTCTTCCACTTTTTTTTCAAGATTTTTAGTTTCTTTGCGCTGGGTACATAATTCCTCCTTTAGCTCTGAGAAATTTGATGGACTGAAGCCTTCTTCTCTCATCTCGTCGAAGTCATTCTCCGTCCAGCTTTGATCCGTTGTTGGCGATGAGCTGTGCTCCTTTGCCGGGGGAGATGCGCTCTTATTTTTTGAATTTCCAGCTTTTCTGCCCTGCTTTTTCCCCATCTTTGTGGTTTTATCTGCCTCTGGTCTTTGATGATGGTGATGTACTGATGGGGTTTTGGTGTAGGTGTCCTTCCTGTTTGATAGTTTTCCTTCTAACAGTCAGGATCCTCAGCTGTAGGTCTATTGGAGATTGCTTGAGGTCCACTCCAGACCCTGTTTGCCTGGGTATCAGCAGCGGAGGCTGCAGAAGATGGAATATTTCTGAACAGCAAGTGTACCTGTCTGATTCTTGCTTTGGAAGCTTCCTCTCAGGGGTGTACTCCACCCTGTGAGGTGTGGGGTGTCAGACTGCCCCTAGTGGGGGATGTCTCCCAGTTAGGCTACTCAGGGGTCAGGGACCCACTTGAGCAGGGAGTCTGTCCCTTCTCAGATCTCAACCTCCGTGTTGGGAGATCCACTGCTCTCTTCAAAGCTGTCAGACAGAGTCGTTTGCGTCTGCAGAGCTGCTGCGTTTGTTATTGTTTACTGTGCCCTGTCCCCAGAGGTGGAGTCTACAGAGACAGGCAGGTTTCCTTGAGCTGCTGTGAGCTCCACCCAGTTCGAGCTTCCCAGCAGCTTTGTTTACCTACTTAAGCCTCAGCAATGGCGGGCGCCCCTCCCCCAGCCTCGCTGCTGCCTTGCCGGTAGATCACAGACTGCTGTGCTAGCAATGAGGGAGGCTCCGTGGGTGTGGGACCCTCCCGGCCAGGTGTGGGATATGATCTCCTGGTGTGCCTGTTTGCTTAAAGTGCAGTATTGGGGTGGGAGTTACCCAATTTTCCAGGTGTTGTGTGTCTCAGTTCCCCTGGCTAGGAAAAGGGATTCCCTTCCCCCTTGAGCTTTCTAGGTGAGGCAATGCCTCGCCCTGCTTCAGCTCTCACTGGTCGGGCTGCAGCAGCTGACCAGCACTGATCGTCTGGCACTCCCCAGTGAGATGAACCCAGTACCTCAGTTGAAAATGCAGAAATCACCAGTCTTCTGTGTCGCTGGCGCTGGGAGTTGGAGACTGGAGCTGTTCCTATTCGGCCATCTTGCTCCGCCCCCCAAGTCTCCTTTTTTTAGTTCCAGTTTTTGTTCTTTTCTGCCAACTCAAGCCCGGAACCTCTCCTATGTTCTGCTGGGCAAATTGACTTCATCCTCTTTCATAAACTTCAAAATTTTTTGCATGCTGTTTTTGGATGGTGGAAATTTGCTAAAAATATTTATGTACTGATGGAAGCCCCTCTCCATGCTCTTTGCTGTTATGAGTTTATGCTTTTTTCCCCTTTACTATTTTTTTTGTGTGTGAGGTGTCAGGAGGGAGGATATATGCTTAATCAAACATCTTGAATAGGAAAATAGTTGTACCTTTTTTTTTTTTTTTTTTTTTTTTAGACAGAGTGTTGCTCTGTTGCTCAGGCTGGGGTGCAGTGGTGTGATCTCAGCTCACTGCCAACCTCCTCCTCCCAAGTTTAAGCAATTCTTCTGCCTCAGCCTCCTGAGTAGCTGGGATTACAGGCGCCTGCCACCATACCCAGCTAATTTTTGTATTTTCAGTAGAGATGGGGTTTCACCATGTTGGCCAGGGTGGTCTCAAACTCCTGACCTCATGTGATCCGCCTGCCTTAGCCTCCCAAAGTGCTGGGATTACAGGTGTGAGCCACTGCTACCTTTGTTTTCTTTTATAATTAGTATAATGATGCCTTCTCTATTTATTTTTCTGGCAGAGTTTCTGGTTGAACACCAGTATTCATTCTCCTTCATTTGTAATTGATTCCACTCCCCATTTTTATCTGGGCACATGTCAAACTGGAATAATCCTAGCCTGTCATGCAACTAGATGTGGCCATGTGATGAAGTTCTGGATATTGGGGTATATGTGGAAGGGTCTTGTAGCAGCTGGAACTGTTCTTAAGAAATAGTAAGAGTGTGCCCTTGTCCTCTTTACTACTTCTCCACCCTTCTGTCTGGACCATAGGTTTCACTGTCTTGGGCCATGAAGTTAGGGCTACATAAAGAGCCTATGTTTCTGGCACCACGGGATCCACTTCCTGTCCTGGACCACTCATCTAGACTATTATAGGGCAGAGAAATTTTGTTCTGCTTAGAGCAATGTTATATTCAGTTTTCCTTCACTACAGCCAGACCAAACCTAACTAATACAACCTTAAAAGATAAGGGTAGAAGTGGTTTGTAAACTATAAAGGGGTACTCAAATGTCAGATATTATCCTATCTTACTCCAGATTCGATTTTGAGCTCTGCCTCTGAACTGGCTACTTTTCAACTTTCAAATCTTTTTATCACCAACAGCTGGATTAAAGTAGAATAAAATATATTCATCTATTAAATGATTATATAGTTGTTAGTTCTTTAAAATAATCTCAAAACCACAGAAGTAAAGAAAGTGTTAGAATATTTCAGTACATTAATCTCCCTAATAAGGAGCTTATAAAAGTAGAAAAAACACCCCTAAAAGTCAGTAGGAAAAATCCTCCAAGGATATGAAACTGAAGACAAAATGCAAATGGTCCTTAAATATATGAAAAGGTGCTCAACTTCACTGGCAACAAGTTAAATGCAAATGAAAAATCACCCTACAGTATAATTTCTCACCTAGCAGATTAGCAAAAATCCAAAAGTTTGACACTGTTCTCTGTTGATGAGACTGAGAAAGCAGACATCCTCACACACCGTTGGTGAGAATGCAAAATGGTATTTCTCGACGATGGGAGAATTTGACAATAGCTGCCAAAATTCTGAAAGCACTTATCCGTTTACCCAGCAATTCTACTTCTGGGAATCTATTGTACATTTCAGGCATATGTACAGGTTACTTATTACAGCAATATAATAGCAAAAAGTTGAAAACAGTTCAAATATTTATTAAAGGGAGGTTTTTAAAATAAATCCCAGTACAACATACAATGGAATGTTATGTGGCAGTAAAGGAAACAATGAAGCTCTCCAAATGCTACTATGGGAAAATTCCTAGGATTTTTTTTTTTTTTTTTTTTTTTTTTTTGGTTGGGGGGAACGGAGTCTTGCTCTGTCACTCAGGCCGGATGGAGTGCAGTGGAGCGATCTCGGCTCACTGCAAGCTCCACCTCCCGGGTTCACACCATTCTCCTGCCTCAGCCTCTGGAGTAGCTGGGACTACAGGTGCCCAACACTACGCTTGGCTAATTTTTTGTATTTTTAGTAGAGACAGGGTTTCACCTTGTTAGCCAGGATGGTCTCAATCTCCTGACCTTGTGATCCACCCACCTCGGCCTCCCAAAGTGCTGGTATTACAGGCGTGAGCCACCACGCCCGACCCCTAGGATGTTTTCTATCTTGCATTTTTCAAATGATCTCTTAATATTCAGTGGTTTCTTTGGCTAGATGGAGGGAATGAGCCTTTTGTTATTCAAATATGGGCTTCCATCAAAGGCATAAGCCCAAAAGCTGATAACCCCTAAATAAAATAATATAATTGAAACTGATAAAAAGATGTGGTCAAAATATATGGGTGTATTACATATTACTATAAATACAGACCTTGTGATATTTCATTATATGCTTTTTAGCTTCTTCCTCTCATGAACTATTAAGAATTATCTTAAGAACTATTTTTAACATAATCCTCTACATTAGCTCTAAGTAATGGAAATTACTCAGAAGACATGGTTTCAGATCTGAAATTTATACATAATGGCTATGCACCTCTAGGCAGATTTCTTAGCCTTCTAAAAATTGAGTTTTCTCATGTATAATATAGATATGATTTCATATAACTAGGCCTTGAAACTGAGGTAATTGTGAATAAGAGAATCTTGTTTAAGCAACAACAATAAAAGCAATGAATCTTTATATAGACAAGAGAATACCGAATAAAAAAGAAAATGTAGAGACTCCTAAAATCCCATCATTTAACGCACGTCAACATTTTTGTTTATATCGGGTCAACCAGGCAAATTTCTGGCATGAAGACATTGGAAAAGCCATGGATGTAGTTTTGCCCAAAAGAGCCAACTATGGGCAACGATAATATCAGAGGCTCTGAGCTGCTCCTGAACTGTTGACATAGACAGGATTACAAATCTTTGCAAAATTGTGTTTTTAAAACAAGATCATTGTATACAAATTGTTTTGTGACTTCCTACTTTTATTTATTATATTATGAGCATCATCCCATGTGATTAGTCTTCTGAAGCATCTTTCATGTACCTAAATATTCTATTGTTTGTTCCATATATTTAGAACAATACTTTTTGCTGAATATTTAGATGATTTCTATCTTTTAAAAAGTGTAAACTATGCAAAGATCAAGATCCCCGTAGATAAATCCACATTCACAAATATGATTATTTCCTTAGGATAAATTTCTAGAAATGACTTGACAATGTCAAAGAATTTGCACGTTTGAAAGATTTTTTTGGATCCATATTGCCCTGCCCTGCTGGGATCCAAAAGAAAAGGTGATTGCCAGTTTATATGCCTACTTATATACATACAGTTTATATACATACATGTACATACGTGTATGATTGCATATCTAAATTTTTTCTTACAGTAAGTATACTTTATCTTATAAACAAATACTAAATGAGTTTGCAAACATCTGCTTCTGATGTGTCCACTCTTAAATGTGCTTGTCTTTACTTCCCAGGTGCCTGCATGAACATCACCCACAGCCAGTGTCAGATGCTGCCCTACCACTCCACGCCGACACCTCTCCTCTCAGTTGTCAGAAACATGGAAATGGAGAAGTTCCTCAAGTTTTTCACGTATCTCCATCGCCTCAGTTGCTATCAACATATCATGCTGTTTGGCTGTAGTCTCGCCTTTCCTGAGTGCATCATTGATGGCGATGACAGGTATTTGGGAACCCAAATTATTCAGTGATAAGAGTTGGTTATAGCAGAAGTATCCTAGGAGAAAAAAAAATTATCCAAACGACTCCCTTTCATTTTGGTTGTTATTAAAGGAATAAAAAAACCCACATTAGTCATGGCTAGTTCTAATTCTTTGAAAATGGAAATGTTTTGAAAATCTGGAATAATTTTATTTATGGGAAAAAATTATTCACAATGTTAGATTGATGCTATCAGAGGAATACCATAATAGCTGTTCCAGTGAGGATAGACAACACACTCAAAGGGGTGATAAGAGAGTTTCTTGAAGAGACTATTTATGGAGCTGTGGGCAGGGTTAAGAGAACAAGTAAGTGATAGGAGGCACCAGGATCTCATGATACAGAGATATAGTTCCACCACCCAAGATGGAAGGGGAATAACGGCCAGTAGCACCTAGAGAGAGTTGTATCTATGGGTGAAGGATCTCGGACAGGCCAGGTGCTATGACCCTAGGCAGAGGAGCATGGCCGCTGCCAACCCTTCAGTCTTGCAGTGAGAGAGAAGGAGGGATAAATACTCTGACCTCGCTTACCTCCCACCCTCCCATCTGCCAGTGCCTCTCACCAAATGAAGTCATCCACAACCAGAGGACAAGGGTGCATAATTCATGTGAGCATGGTGGATGAGATCCAGAATTTCAACTAAATCTCATCAGTTCAAAAGTCCCAAATCTTATACTTTAAAGCAAGTATCAACCATACCTAGATGTTGGGTGGTTCTTCCACTCAACACTGGTAGGCAGAGCAGGGCGAGAAGGGCAAAGTGTAGACACAGAGAGATAGACAGAGGCTCTCCAGCATGATATCAAACAGGATCAGGGAAAATTTCAATAAGTACATCAATCAAAAGTATGTCATGGAATTTTTGGAATATTAAGTATACACTTAAAAAAATTTCAAAACATGTGTTACTTATTCACATATAACACCAATTATTTTCTGAATTAAAATGTTACAAAGTTTTAGAATAGTAATACAAGAATAAGTTTCATTTTTTCTGTGTGTTTGAATTCTTATTTATATTAAATTGGCAGATAAAATTGCATGCATTTATTGTGTAAACATGATGTTTTGAAGTATACATACATGATGGAATGGCTAAATATAGCTGATTAACAAATACATCACCTCACATTGTACCATTTTTGTGTAAGAACACTTTACATCCATCGTCTTAGCATTTTTTAAGAATACTACACATACACACATACATATATACACATGTGTGTGTACATATATATACAGACACATACATATATGTATGTGTGTATATATGTGTGTATACATGTGTGTATATACATTCATATGTGTACATATATGTGTGTGTATATGTACATATTTGTCTATATATACATACACACTTAGAGATGGGGTCTTGCTGTATTGTCCAGGCTGGCCTCAAGCTCCTGGGCTCAAGCAATCCTCCTGCTTCAGCCTCCTCCCAAGTAGCTGGGAGTGTAGGCACACACCACTATGACCACCTAAGAATACAATATATTTATCAATAATTATAGTCACCATGCTATATAAAAGATCTCTTTAACTTATTCCCCCTAGGTAACTGTAATTTTGTGTCATTTGACCAATATTTCCCCAATGTTCACCCTTGAACTTCCCTAGCCTCTTTTAACCTTTATTCTACTCTCTATTTCAATTAGATCAAATTTTAAATATTTTATATATAAATGAGATCCTGTGGTATTTGTCTTTCTGTGCCTGACTTACTCCGCTTAACAAAGTGTCCTCCAGGTTGATCCATGTTGTGGCAAATAACAGGATTTTTTCTTTTTTATGGCTGAATAGTATTCCATTATATATGTGTGTGTGTGTGTGTGTGTGTGTGTATCACATTTTCTTCATGCATTCATTGGTTAATGGATACTTAGGTTGATTCCATATATTGACTATTGTTCCATTGTCTCTCTCTCCCCCACCTGGGGCCTTCCTATTCTGGGAGACACAGTAATATTCAAATTAGGCCAATTAACAACTCTACAATGGCCTCTAAGTGTTCAGGTGAAGGAAAGAGTGGCATATCTCTTACTTTAAATGAAAAGCTAGAGATGATTAAGCTTAGTGAGGAAGGCATGTTGAAAACCAAGATATGCTGAAAGCTAGGCCTCTTGCACCCAATGGTTAGCCAATTGTGAATGCAAAGCAAAAGTTCTTGTAGGCATAAAACAGTGCTACACCCATGAACACACAAATGATAAGAAGGCAAAACAGCCTTATTGCTGATATGGAGAAAGTTTTTGTGGTGTGGATGGAAGATCAAAACAGCCACAACATTCTCTTAAGCCAAAGCCTAATCTAGAGCAAGATCGTAACTCTTTAATTTTGTGAAGTCTGGAAGAGGTGAGGAAGCTGGAGAAGAAAAGTTTGATGCTAGCAGAGATTGGTTCATGAGATTTAAGGAAAGAAACCATCACCATGACATAAATGTGCAAGATGATGTAACAAGTGCTCATTTAGAAGCTGTAGCAAGTCATCTAGAAGATTTAGCTAAGATCATTGATAAAGGTGGCTACACTAAACAACAGATTTTCAGTTTAGGCAAAACAGCTTTCTACTGGAAGAAGATGCCATCTAGGACTTTGCTAGCTAGAGAAGTCAGTGCCTGGCTTTAAAACTTCAAAGATAGACTGACTCTCTTGCTAAGGTCTAATTCAGCTGGTGACTGGAAGTTGAAGCCAATGATCTTTTGCCGTTCCCAGAATCCTAAGGCCGTTAACAAGTATGCTAAATCTACTCTATTCATACTCTATAAGTGTAACAGAAAAGCCTGGATGACAGCACACCTGTTTACTGATAGACCAATGGAATGGAATCGAGGTCCAATAAATAAATCCATGTCTTTATAGCAAACCGGTTTTTGACAAAGGTGCCAAGAACACTCAATGGAGGAAAGACAGTCATTTCATGCAATGGAGAAAAGACAGTCAATAAAGGGCAATAGGGAAACTGCTTTCTGATTATTTTGAAGCCCACTTTTGACACCTACTGCTCAGAAAAAATACAAATTTCTTTTAAAATATTACTACTCACTGACAATGCACCTGGTCACCCAAGAGCTCTATGGAGATGTACGAGGAAATGAATGTTATTTTCTTGCCTGTTAACAAAATATCTCTTCTGCAGCCCATCAATCAAGGAATAATTTTGACTTTCAAGTCTTATTATTTAAGAAATACATTTCATAAGGCTGCAGCTGCCATAGATAGATTGTGATTTCTGTGATGGATCTGGGCAAAGAAAATTGAAAACCTTTAGGGAATAATTTACCATTCTAGATTCCATTAAACATGCTTGTGATGCATGACAGGAGGTGAAAACATTAACATTAACAGGAATTTGGAAGAACTTGATTCTAACACTCATGGATGACTTTGAGGGATTCAAGACTTTAGTGGAGAAAGTAACTGCAGAGGTTGTGAAAATAGCAAGAGAACTATAATTAAAAGTGGAGCCTGAAGATGTTACTGAATTGCTACAAGCTCATGATCAAACTTGAATGGATGAGTAGCTTTTTATGGATGAACAAAGAAAGTGGTTTCTTGAGATTAAATCTATTCCTGGTGTAGATGCTGTGAACGTTGTTGAAATGACAACAAAAGATTTTGAGTATTACATAAACTTATTTGATAAAGCAGTGGTGGGATTTGAGGTTTTGATTTGCATTGCCCTAATAATTAGTGATGTTTAAACACTTTTTCGTATACCTATTGGCCATTTATATGTCTTCTTTTGAGGAATGTCTATTCAGGTTTTTTTTTTTTTGCCCATTTTATCATCAGGTGGTTTGTTTTCTTGCTACTGAAGTGTTTGAGTTCCTTATGTATTTTGGATATTAACCCTTTATCAGATGTATAGCTTGCAAATATTTTCTCCTATTCCATAGGTTGTCTCTTCACTCTGTTATTTCCTTTGCTGTACAGAAGTTTTAGTTTGATGACATCTCATTTGTCTACTTTTGCTTTTCATGCTTGATCTTTTGGGATCATTTCCCAAAAATCATTAACCAGGCTATAGGTTCCCCTTATGTTTTCTTTTAGTAGTTTCATAGTTTGGGCCCTTACATTTAAGTCTTTAACCCATTTTGAGTTCATTTTTGCATATCCTATGCAATAAGAGTCTAATTTCATTCTTCTGCATGTTGATAGGCAGTTTCCCCAATGCCATTTATTGACTGTCTCTTCTCCATTGCATGAAATGACTGTCCTTTCTCCATTGTGTGTTCTTGGCATGTTTGTCAAAAACTAGCTTGCTGTAAAGGCATGGATTTATTTATTGGATCTCAATTCCATTCCATTGGTCTATTTGACTGTTTTTATACTGATACCATACTGTTTCAGTTACTATGTGTATTTTTCCAGTCTCACACTGCTATAAAGGACTGCACGAGACTGGGTAATTTATAAATGAAGGAGGTTTAATTGACTCACAGTTCTGCATGTCTGGGAAGGCCTCAGGAAACATAATGGTAGAAGGGGAAGCAAACACATCCTTCTTCACATGATGGCAGGAAGGAGAAGTTCCGAGCGAAATGGGGAAAAACCCCTTATAAAACCATCAGATTTCATGAGAACTCACTCACTATCACAAGAACAGCAACATGGGGGTAACTGCCCCCATGATTCAAATACCTTCCACTGGATGCTTCCTATGACAAATGGGGATTATGGAAACTACAATTCAAGATGAGATTTAAGCAGGGACACAGCCAAACCATATCACTATGTTTTGTAGTATATTTTGAAGTTAGGTAGTGTGATGCCTCTAGCTTTGTTTTTTTGATCAGGCTTGTTTTGGCTATTTTGTCTTTTGTGGTTCCATGCAAATTTGGAGATTGTATTTTCTGTTTCTGTGAAAAATGTCATTGGTATTTTCATAGGAATTGCATTGACTCTAGATCACTTGGGTAGTATGGACATATTAACAATATGAATTCTTCCAACCATGAAC